CTGCTGCTGCTACTGCTACCTCTACTGCTACTGCTACTACTGCTGCTACTGCTACTGCTACTACGACTACTGCTGCTACGACGACTTCTAGTGCTACTGCGGCCACTAGGACAAGCACTAGTTTCAGGAAGCGTTGCAGTACTGATATTTATTGTCATTTCTAACAATGGAAGATCCCAAAGCAGCACGAGCTTTCGTCCGGGTCGTAGCGGTTGTACTGGACACAGCAGTTTGCATGTCATGTGTGCCATTATTCTGCCCTGCCTCCCATGCCGAGGTAGTGTCCTTGTCTTGATCATCGTCCCTTACTTGGCTTCAGTACCCACACTCATTCAACGACGCGGATGCCGGACTTTAAGGCAGGGCCTCTCTCCCTCGCCCTCGCCCTCGCCCTCGCCCTCGCCCTCGCCCTCGGCCTCGGCCCTCGGCCTCGCGCTCGCACTCGCCTTCGCCCTGGCCCTCGCTCTCTCGCTCTCGCTCTCTCTCTCTCGCTCTGGCTTGTTTGCTTGCCAGGTGTTCGCTCTCTCTCCCTCTCTCTCTCTCTGTCTCTCTCTCTCTCTCTGTCTCTTTCTCTCTCTCTCTCTCTCTCTGTCTGTGTCTGTGTCTGTATATAGCAAATAACTAAATCAATAAAACTCGTATATACAAAGACAGACCACAGCTGAACGTGTAAGCCAGCCCAGAACATGCCCGTAGCATCCGCGAAGTGTCTTCGATACAGCCAGGGCTCTGGTAGTACTGGCCTTGGGGATCCCAATAGCCCTTCATGCCTCCACACTGGCGCGAAGCATCACGAGGTATGCAGGTTCAACTGCTTACGCTTCAGGACGAAGTGTGTAGGGTTTTGTTGCACTTCGGTTGACGACAAGTGCGAGCTTCAAGAGGTAGAAAGTCTCCGAGTCCCCCTTGCCAACATTGTGGCCTCGACAAGGCATCGATTGAAGACTAGCCGGTCTCCAGGCTTGGCGGGCTGTTGAATCCTGAAACCTTGAAATCCAAGCACTAAACTACCCTGAACCCTGAACCGCCCTGATTCATCCTGGAATCCTTTCGCCGGCCTTCCTCCCAGTATTGACCTTTCTCGTCCCAGTAACCGCCGTACTCCTCGTCCCAGTAACCTGCGCCCCGCTCACATGCTCGAGGCTTCAGACATCCAACATGCAGGGTAAGGAAAAGGAAGGGTCAGGCCGATCTGGCTTAGGGGAGGAGGGCTGCAGGGAGAACCTGCCATTTATCAACTGGTACGGCTTTCCTTGAGAAAAAAAAGAGGGTTAGGATCAATGGCAATGGTCTAGGAGTCTAAGGTGGACCTGTTGTTTCTGTTGTTTCTGGGCCGTAGAGTCTGCAGTACAAGTCGGACATTGCACGCTAAATTAGTCCTTACTTCTGGGCTTGTCGGCACAGCTCTTCTCCAGCCTTCTGAGAGGCAGAAGCAGCATCGGGGGGATGTCTTGGGCCATTTTCCCTAACCCCCCAGGTACCTACTATATAGGGCCCTAGAGGCTCTAGTACCCTGTGCAGTAGGTCCCTGCTCATACGCTCGGCAGGAAAACAGTTTCTCTACACAGTGCATGCTGAGCCGTGGATCGCAAACCGAAATCTACGCAAAGCAACCGCGCACAGAATGCCTCCGTAGTCGTCGTCGCAGCCATGTTCGTCACAGTGCTCTGATGGGTGATGGTCCCCGCCTGCACTGCCGAATGCTCTGTATAACTTACTCCACTGGCACCACCATGCGGACCTTTGCACATACGTATTTCATATATAATAATATATATATATATATGTACATATATATATATATAGATCTCTCTCTCTCTCTCCCTCCATAAGTACACATACGTAAAGAGTGTGCGTGTGTGTATGTATATATATATATATATGTACGTACACATAACCGTCACGTTCGCTCTCTCACTACATGTGTATATATATATATATACATATATATATATATACATGTGTATGTATGTATATGTATATATATGCACACATATGTGTGTGTGTGCTGTAACAGAAACAAGCACTCTTAATCACCCTCCCGAAAGGCCTAAACACTGAACTAAACTCTATTAAAAAAACCTAAGTACCTAGAAAGGGCTGCCTCTATGGTGATGGTGATGATGGCTTGGCGCTGGGTCAGGCCCGAGGCCGACGGCAGCTGCAACCCCATGACCTTCGGTTCGGTAGAGCAAAGCGCGTAGTGTTTCAAGTTTAGAACACTTGTTTGTAGCTTTTCGGTTTAAGGAAACTGTTTCTTGGAGTTTGGAGTCGTTAGAGTTTTGGCCTGAGACTTTGGTGTTTAGGGTTTCGAACAGGGTTTTGGATCAAGCGTATAGTGTTTTGGGTTCAACGTGTTGGTGTAGGAGTTAGATCAAGACCCTGACGTGTATACTTCTCTGACTGTCAAAACTGCAGTTCTGAAACCAAACACTGACTCAACCCTGTAGCCCTTCTGGCCATACAACAAGCTTGCAAGATTTTGCAGGTATGGCAGGCATCTCAAACAGTACGTACCCCACAGGCCTCGCCTCAAGAACAAACTATAGTGCCTACATCGACAGTTTGGGCAGTTCGGGTGTAAGATAAGCGTGCAGAAGGTCGGAAACTGGTTGTGCCCAACATGACTACATGCGTATGTATGTACGCATGTATCGCAGGTATGTATGTATGTATGTATGTATATATATATATATATGTGTGTGTGTGTGTGTGTGTGTTTGTGTGTGTGTGTGCTTGCATAGTGTATAGCTTGCTGGTCTGGTGAGTTGTCGCGTTGAGCCGTTCTCATGTACATATCCTGCGGTGGGGCCGCGGGTTAGTCCTAGAGACAGATGCTGCAACCTTTGAGTTGCTTGCTCGGCTTGATCACGAACTCGTCCGATGGCCGTGAGAGAGAGAGAGAGAGAGACAGAGTGTGTGTCTGTGTGTGTGTGCGCGCTTGCATGTGGAATTTAGAAGGAGCCTCACACATGAAATGCATTTATTTGGGATGAGAGCGACAAGCTACAAGGAACACAACCATAACCTCATGCTGAGACTGCGGCTCCTTCAACACTCGCTCCGTCCACTCTAGTTCAAAACTGATGGCACTACCGATACCTCATTAGGCGATCAAGCGTCAGTACAACAACTACAGCACTTGGGGGGGTGGGGGAGCGGGGTGGCATTACTACCGCTGATCCTGGAAAGACTGCCTGTCGTGCATAACACAACTTGTACACCACAGTTCTCCCATCGCACCGAACCTAAGAGCTGCACAGCAACAATAACCAAACAACCGCCTCACAACCGCGACATCATGGCAGCTGAGGCCTTCTGATAACAATCACACAAGCAAAGGCTCGCACGATTAGTCATCATCATGCACTGGTTAGATGCCACTAGCGGCACATTTTAGGAGGACAGCGGGGGATGAACTCAGGTGGGACCCAGGCTCCCGTATATCAGCACTCGTCTTTGTCCCCAACCACCTTCATCCAATCTTCGGAGCCCGTTAAGGTTTTCTAGCTTACTTATCTTGGTATTGGCGTGCGCGAAGATATCTCAGGGGAAAAGTGAACTTCGCTTTCTGCAGGCAGTTGTCGTGACCAGCATGGTAATCACACATCGACACACATACGCGGAGATTACGGAACAAACACATGAGCCCTCAAAGATCCTGTCCAACCAAAGACTAATCCTTCATAAGTTCCCTGTCAGACAGTATTACAATCCAGCTCCAACCCTTTTCAAAGAAGGCCGTCATGTATGGCTTGATCAGGATGGCATTCCCTCTGCAGTCCTTGTGATAGAAACTCCGACTTTGAAAGAAGACCCAAGCATCAAAGTCAAGATCAAAAGGGCCTTGCAGGGAGGTGGCATGACCGCGCTGCGAGGTGACTCCTGAAGTCAGGGCATCCGTTAGGCGTGTGTGTGTAGCTTAACTGTACTTGCTTCCCATATAGGCAGTATTCCTGCCTCCCTTCAGAAGCGCTTCATGATCACACAGACAATTAAAGCCTGCGCTACCCTAGCGGCATGTGTCTAAATTGGAAACCTGCGCTTCAAGAACTCGGCTTCAAGCTTCGAGTTGAATCTGTGTCTCTGGCAACTCGAAGATGATCTGAGCTCGAATGTCGGAGTGCCGTATGCAGCATGCAATCTGGATTCGGTGAGACCGTTCGTCAAGGTGTAAAAATGTGTGTGGGGGGCTACAACTGTGAACGCAGGGTAAATGCGTTTGTGTGTGTGTGTGTGTGCGTATGCGTGGTGTGTTTATTTTTTCGTGCTGGTTCGACTCTTCACAGATTTCATTTCAGCTTCAACAAACAACAGCTGCTGTCCTGAGGCATCAGGCTTGATCTCGAGCATGAATGTCCCGAGCGGCCCGAGCTCTTTCTTGACCTGGACAATTGCAACCGCTTCAGCACTGCACAAACTAAACGAAGAGTTTATAAATAGTTTACCTACCTACCTGCACCAACTTGGAAACTTAACTTACGATCTTACATACCTCCACTTGCAGTTACGTGTGCAGTTTATGTACGTGAATACGTGCGTACCTACATGCATCCGCACACGCGCACGCATACGCACATTTACACCTTTTCTCATAATACTTGTACATATCTTTCTGTCTATGATTAAAAATAAGAGGTATGAGATACGTGTATATATATATATATGCACATTATAATATGTAGATCTATATTTTCGTGTATATATGTATATAAATATAAATAATTAAACAAATATAAATAAATAAATAAATAAATATATATATATATATATATGAAGACAGAAAGACAGACAGATAGATAGCCAGATGAATAAACAGATAAATACATAGATAGAGAGAGAGAGAGAGCGATAGATCGAT